CCAATAATTGCGCCGTACTTATTATTGTTTTCTTGTGTATTGCCGTGATTATTATGGTAACGCCGAAGCGCCAATTTAACATGTTACTGTATTGCCCGAGGTCTGCTCCAGCCTCCCCACGGGCCTCCCCAGCCGAATCCGCCGTCGCCCATTCCTTATTTTTCTTGTCGTCGCCGTCTTTGTTGTCAGCATGCGTGACCTCCTTGCCGGCAGCGTCGATGGGAGCAGTAGCCGCGGCGGGATGCTGTACGTTGTGCCCCGCAGTGACAGGAGCGACAGGCTCGGGCACGGCGAGAGCTCTGAGAGCCGGCTGGTAGTCGGTGGCGGACGCGACGCCCGCGACGGCGACTAGCGTGGTGACGGCGAGAGTGGTGAACTTCATGGCTTTCAGTTGGTCGGCCGGTTGTGCGAAGGAAGGGAAGTTGTTAAGTGGGAGTGGGGTTGGTGGCCGGTCGCTGGCTCACTGATGGTGCTGATATGGAGTGGGAAAAGTCTGCGGGGTTTCTGCTCGCTGGTGTTGCTGTCGACTTGTTGGTCATTTTCCGGTCGATGCCGCTGGTCTGTAGTGATGGATGTGGTTAGTGGCCTGCTAGACCAGTTAATAAATTTTAAAGAAGGAGACGCCATTTGGACGCATTGCCCCAATATGAGAATGCAAGATAAATTAGCGTTTTTGTACCAACTGGAAGAGTGATGATATTGATAAGCATGGCCACTCGTTCTTTTGGGATTTACAGTACTGCTAGATAAATTGCTGCATTTATCCGGGGGCTGCATGTATACGACTTTTGCGGGTATAGGGCTGTCCGTACAACGTGTAAGCCCGATGCACTATTAGTACCAGGAATACTGGTGAATTTAGGGCGATATCCTTTTTAGAAGCCGGAATCGAAAAAATAGCAGAAATGCTTAATTAACCCCCTGGCTCCCAGAAAAGTGTATCAAGAAAAATGCTAATGCATGTCGTAAGATACGACGTAGCCGTGTTACTCGACATTTGTATGGAGTATATGTTCGACATGTGGATCGGTGTATAAAGTTTTAAGAGGTGCTCGGTCACAATGTCGTAAGTTATACACCTTATGGATCTTCGCGGCGATTCCAATGGCGTAACTTGCACCCAGCAGGACGCAGAGCCGGTAAGAAAGAATTTGAAGAGTGGCAAGTTATATCAAGAAAGCCGGCGAGAGTCGGAACAAAAGGTACATAGGCTCAAGGAATCATGGATTAGGATCAGCTACAACTAACACTCATCACATGTCGCACAGGCAGTCACGCAAGCAGGAATCACTCTTCATCATTTTCACCGTCGCCATTTTCGGCACACTCGTGAAGTCGAAGTTCCCGGCACGTCTTCTTCCGTTCAACAGCTTCCTTAGGTGGCCGCCGCATGACAACCCGTTTTCCTAAGGTAGTAGGAATGGCAAGGCATCCATCGAAGTCGTCATGCCAGATTGCGAAGCAAGTCTTTGCCACATCCTTGTACTGTCCACGGATTTTATTGCACAGCCAGCACTTTGTGTTGTCGACGGAGCAGCTCTCGCAGAAGTAAGTAGTCGCATAGGACTTCTTCTTTCGGTCCGTCCGAAGAAGCGCACAGACTTTACAGGAGCGCTGACGTCATTTCTGGACCCCGGAAACTGTGACCCTGTCTTCGCACTGATCCAGCTTGTGGTTTAGCCGAAGCGGAGCTCGCTTGCGCTTTGGAGTAATCGCCGGGGGTGTCTCCACAACGCCCACGAAATTTCCAGGCTTGAGCTGCAAAAGCTGATTTTGTAGGACGCCATACCACTCGCCACGTGGCATCGCCGCCGACCCTGCCATCTTTGCCGCTTCCTTGTGAGAGATGTACGTGTTGACGAGAGCTAGGTCGACAAGTCTTAAAAATAGGCTCTTATAATACTTTTTAAATTTTGTCGATGTCTGGAGGGAGTATTTTTGTAGACGAAGCTGGTCGTGGACGTCCACTCCGCCCATAACCCCCTGACAGTCGTTTACCGGTTGTGGGCACGGTACCGTAACCGCGCCAACCTGCTTGACGTTCCTCTTGAATGTCGACTCCTTCTTGACCACGCACGTACACAAGTAGTGTACGGGTTTCCGGTCCCACCAGTGAGATGCCACCATACTGGTAATCGAAACAGAACGCGAAAAGGTGAACTGTCCGCGTGGAATGCTAGCCGGGCGTGACTTTCGCTTTTCCTTGATATTTTTGTCAAAACCAGTCTGTTAGCCATGATCGCTCGGATCACGTAAGCGCTCATGCCAAGTAGCTCAATCGCCAGAAGGATAGACGCGTAGAACCGGTCAATGGCAACAACATGCCATAGTAGCCGAGAGTTGTCGCCAAGGACAATCCTTAAATTGCGAGCAACTGCCGCAGCGTCGGTCTTGTGGTCGTACTTGGTGTCCATAGCGTCACCCCTACGCTTGCCAGCGTATATTTCAATCTACAAACAGTATGTTACGACATCAAAGTTAGCTGCAATATCTATATGTCGTAAGCTACGACGTTCTAGAACTCACCTGTGACAATATGCAGTCCTTGAGTCGCACAACATGAACATCTTAGCCCATACCGATGTGGCTTGCCAGACATAAACATACGAGACGTGTTACGCCTTGAAGTCGAAGAAAGAATTCCTTCGTCGAATGTGAACATGGAGGGTAATGTCTATGCAATCAGAAAGCGATGCTGTAGTCGGTCTAAAACTGGACGGAGCTTCCAGACCTTGTCACGTGTCCTCTCAGCCTCGTTGTCTACAAAATTCAGTTCCCTTAGAATGTCCTGGCACATGTTGCGTGTCCTAAAGCGGCCAGCGTTTCCAGAGAAGACCGCTCCGTCTTCTACCATGGACCAGTGAGCCGCAAACCGACGTTTCTGGGGGCACAACATGCGGGCAACCAACAGCCCGATCACGTGCAGTATCTCGTGTGACTGATATCCTTACTTTGCCTTCAAACGACGAAACGTTTTCTTCAGTGTCTCGCGTTGATTTGCTGGCTGCTTCGCTCTGATGTCCATCGCACGCCTTCGAACTTGTTGAAGGCCGTATCGTTTCGTCTCGGTACATATCATCACCCAAAGCGACTTAGGCATGTAGTAAAAGAATGTCAGAAGCGGGGAATGACAAACCTCGAGCAAAGAAGCCACCGGATGTGCTTTCTTCCATTGTAAGACCGGGATACGACTCCCCATGCTGCTCAAACGAAGACGATGGTGATGTCCATCTCATTGCGCGCAAAGCAGCCTCCCGTATTTGTACGGCATGTCTATCATGCCGCTGTTACCGACTTGGAGAGACTCGACAAATGATCCATCCAGCTCCACAGCATCGGCATCAGACACGACATCATCATCATCCACTCAGCGCGAACTTAAACGTCATCATCATCCTCAACGTCATCATCACTTTCACCCGAGCTCAAACTATCGTAGACATTCATGCTTTCGTCGTCAGAAACGTAATTGATGTCATATTTCACAGCTGTACGTGGGCGCAGTACGCGTGATGTCGTCGCTGTCGTCGCTGGGTTTTGTTCTTCATCGCTTTCTGTACCAGATGCCCCAGACAACAGTTGCAGGCCTGCGGCGCCTTGCGAATCCTCAAGTTGCAGATCGCTCTGCGACAAATCAAACGCCCTTGTGACTGCCTCCTGGGATAGGTCATTGTCTTCGTCACTCGGTGTGCCAAACAACTCATTCATCGTGTTCTGCGAAAGCTGTGCGCTCGTATCGACCTGAGAAACGCGGATTGAGTCGTCTGCTAGTTCAGGATTGCCAGCATCGGTGACACCTGCTTGCTGCACCTCAGTGCCCTCTCCTGTCACCTGGTTTTCGTTGCCGGCGTCGCTGTTGCTATCTCTGGACTCACCAGGACTAAGAATACCAGCTTCTAGTGCATACGCCACGACTTCCGCCTCACCCACGAGCACCTTGGATCCGTCTGGACTCACGTATCGCCACTCGGTCAGAATCCCAGCTGGCCGCTTGAATTTCCATCCTCCTGCTTTCAGTTGTCGGCAGAAATGACCGAAGTCGAAAATCCGGGCGACGGCGGCAACGGCAGCACTATTTGACCGGCCCCCTGACCGGATGCGTGCCATCGGGCAAAATCTCGAATGGGTGGTGATCAGGTTTGATGCCAGTGGATTCTTTCCCGTCCTTTCCATCCTTTCCCGCACTCTGTCTCGTTTCGAATGGCTCGATTTACCTGTTGGACTTCATTTTCATAAAACGACTTGATTAAAGTACTGAACATCTGATCTAGAGCCATTTACTATTGTTCCTCTTGTTATGTCGTAAGTTACGACATAGCAAAACCGTTACTTGTCTGGTCCGAAAAAGTATTAACAGTTCTTTAAATCGGAGATAACTTCGGTCGTACAGCTCCAACGGAAGCGTGGTTGAGCTAGTTTGAAAGCTCTACTTACGTAGCGTCAGCACGATTTTTATATGAACAAGTTTCCTGCCAATTTTGCCAATGGCTGACCATTTGAACTATCACTTTACGGAGGGGAGGAGTTTTTTTTTCGCTTTGACGTCAAAAATAATCAGAAATAAACTTTAAAATATACTAGAAAAAGCGCAAACTGAGCTTAATCTAGTGGTATATCACTAAAAGCAATTGAATCCATTTTCGCGTCAATTACTCTTAATCCGTGTGCATACAAATTTTCATACGAACTCATTTTAACCAATCGTACCCATCTCAGAATGGACATTGACCAATCACACATGCGAGGTTTTTTTTATAGAAAAACCTAACTGTTAATTCTTTTCTGGGGGGAGAAGTAAGTCGTAAGATACGACATTGGAGAGAGGCAGACGATTCTATTTGGTCATTATCGACACCTAGATGTCTGTTTGATCCTAAGCCTGGTTATCAACGTCGGTTCCTTTGGGCACCGAGGGTGTACGAAGCTTGTCCTGTGAGGGACCATCTCTTTGGGCTGGTTGTCTAACTCTTGTAAGCAGAGTAGGAGACGCGTCCCGTTTTCTAAACGTTCGGGGCACCGTCGTTCACGTATGGCGACTGCTCGTATTTGCCTTTGTCCTGTAGCCCAGAACTCCTGCAGACTTCCATCCATTGTTACTTCTTCATGCTGAAAAACTGCCCGATTGCGCTGTATCCATAGCGTAGTTATGCAGATACTGCGGAGTATTCTCCACATCCGTTTCCAAACCATTGCGTACTGATCTGCCTCATCTGGGTATAGATTTCGTAGTTTTCCTGTGATCGTTTTGGACAGTTCGGGAGCTTGTCTACTTGCGCAGTTCTTTTGGAAGTTGTGTAGAGCACCCTGGGTCCAACACTCCCCTGTCCATTGGCAGATGAGTTTCTGCCAGCATACTTGGGCACATGCACAGTCCCAGAAGATGTGTTCTAGTGTCTCCTTGGTACCCTGACACCCTTCTAGTTTTTGGCAACTATTGTTCACCAGCCGTGTCGGATGATGCAGATTTAATTGTCGGAGTGCTACTCGATAACAGACCCATACCTGATACTCCGTTAATTCGTTTTGGTGCGCCCATAACCGCTTTGGGTCCTGGTCCAGAGCCGCCGCTTGCCATTGACTCGTTTTTGCCGCTAGTTGTAACGTGTCCACTATCACGTCAAGCGATTCTCCTTCACTCCTGTACTTCTTAAATGCTAGTTTCTTGATTGCCTTTAGGACGTGTTTGCTGGCAACTGTCGGCGAGACCATCCACGGAAAGTCATGAAGTTTCGGATGCGCTGCAAATACGATACTCTTGTCGCGCTCTCGCTGCTGTAACGTCTTCATATCTTTCGTGAGCTCCGATCGATGTATCGTCGAGTCTTGCAATCCCCAATTTATACCATTGGGTTGCTGGATTAGCTCTATTGAAGCTTGCTTATGTCCGTCTGTGTCTGTTGCTGTGCCTCGAATTACAGCTCTCCCCACGACTTCCCACTTATAGTCGTACTCGAAGGACGTCGGGTGCCGCATTGTCACTGTATTTCCTGTGCGTTATGTTTTACCGATAAGAAGTGGAGGGATGCTGCTTAAGACCGCAATGCTCCACCTCCGAAGCTTCGCTGCTTGGTGATGTTTACCGTCTTTTCTTGGTATTTGCATCGTATATACCCTTGCTTCAATCCTGGTGATACGGAGTTGTTCTAGCGTGCAAGGAGAAATTATGTTATACTTCTTACTCGTCAGCATGGATCCCGTCTGGTCCACTATACTCGGGTTATCATTCCAATAGTAGGATGGCCAGAATATCGTCTCCATTGTCATAGCGGCTGCGAAAGGTTTCGTTAAATCCCGAGCCAGTTCTATCCTCCACTCGTCGTTATTCATCAGACGTACTGCCGATACCTCCACTTCGTTTAGCTGCTGTCGTAACCGCTGCTTACTCTCTTCTGTTCGCTCTGCTGGCGCTATCCAGCTGCCCATTAGACTTTGTAATTTATTCCCAGGTGTCTGTTGTCGACGTCTGCCCTTCTTGATGTCCTGTCGTCGCGGTGACACTCCATTCTCCCATTGTAGATCAGCCCCTCTCATATGTAGTATCATGGGACAGGAATCCGCTGATGGGCGGATGAAGGATATGCTTCATGCGCTTCGCCAACTTGACGGTAGTGACGTACTGGTGATTCAAGATCAGATGAACGTGACGTGCGGCGTTGTGATGCAAACAAAGGTGCAGAAATGATGTTCAAGCAATGAGGAGAGTTGCTGGTGATGGACTTCACGCATGGAACAAATAATGCCGGCTGCCACTTGGGTACGCTCGCAATACTGCTCGCAATACTTATAGCTACTTATTTTTTCAGACATCCATACCACGTTATAGCAACCATACTCACCATAAAGCAACCATTGTTTAACTACAATTTGTTTTTTTTGCACAGGGCAACCATTGATTAACTATAATTTGTTTTTTGTTTTTTTGCACAAAGAGTCTTGTCGTCACTACCGCTACAGGCAGAGGCTTCACCGTTGTCGGCTTTATGTGTCTTAACCAGCAAGCAGTGACAATTTCTACAATACTGGAGTATTTCAAAGAGAAGAATGCCTGTTGGCAGCAAGTAGAATCCGTGGTGATTGATAAGGGTTTAGTGGAGTGGCGTGTATTGAAGGAGTGCTTTCCAAGTGTGCAGATATTATTGTGTCAATTTCACGCGATTGCTTACTGGAAGAAGGTGATGAAACGCTCTATGTATCACCTGAATCTTTCTCAACGTGAACAGCTGCTGAACATGATGACAAACCTGCTCTACTGGTACGTAAGGCTCTATATGTATCCGTTAACCGCTAGGCTAACCTTCTGAAATGGGAATCCACTAGCTCTTCCAAAACTAATTACGACGACTGCTATGAGGCGTTGCGGCAGTACTGCAGGAGAACCAAAAGGCCGTCAATACTTGCGTATTTCGACAAAATTTGGAATTCGTGTCGTGACATGTGGGCAATTTTTGTTCGTGGTGGGCTTTTTACCGCTGGAAATACCGACCACCAACAGAATTGAGTCCAATTGGAATCAAGTGAAATGTTATTGGGACACAAAACTCGCATCGACAACACGATTGCAGGTCTGTTGCAGCATCAAATGACTGTCACTCAGCAGATTGTGTTTTCAATCACACAACAGTCCTTAACGACTCGTGTGCCCAGGACTATACCAAAAAATTTTAAAGCAGTTGCTGCTAGGTTGTCTCCAGCAGTATTTGCGAAGGTGAAATCGGAGTGGGAATGGTTTATTCTCATGAAAAAGGCAGATTGTGAAACGGACCCAATAAGCGTCTCGTGTTGGAAGGTGCATCGCCAGAACAAAATCTACAAGTATCACGATGTTGATTGGACATGCACCTGCCTATTCTACCGCAGTCACCGCTTGCCCTGTCGTCACCTAATGCACTTGGCACGAGCTGGGCATCGTTTTGAAATGTTTCCATTCATTTCTGTTCATGGGCGCTGGAGTTTGAATGCTGCAACGCAAGTGAATGATGAACTAGTGGCTGCATCTTCTTCGTTGATTCGAATTGAAGTTAAAGTCGCCAAAACTAAAGTTGTCTTACGCTGCTGATGATGATGTGCAAGGCGGCGACCAATGCATGGCTACCTCATCGGCTAAGGACCCGAAACAAGTTGCATACGTGCATATTCGTCGCCGGGAACGTGCAAACCAAGTCGTTCTATCTTCATCCGAGAAGTACGTGTACGCAAAACCCATGCTGGAGCCTTTATTGGAACATCTTTCGAATCTATCTAGTGCTGATTTCTACCAACAGCTAAAAGCATGGAAGGAGACTGTGGCAATTGGTATGAGTAAGGAGACCTCAACGGACCGTACAGCACCTGAAAGTGACCATACCGACGGCAACAGTGATAGTGAAAATTTAGATGTGGACCCGGATGATCTTATAAACGCTGTGCGAGTTAAAGAAGCGAGAGACTCTGATATCTCTATTACGGACGGGTATATAAAGAATCATGATTCATTGGATGCAGAAGATGAAGTTCCACCAACACAACTGACATCCGGCCACGAACTACATCTGTATTCAAATCAAGCTCCTAGTACGGCGATCGCAGAATGTGTTCGCGAAGATGTGTCAAAGGCAAGCAGTACACATACTGAGGAAACAGCACGGCAGATCGACATTGTCAATGTCCCAAAACCATCACGAAATGGTCGGCCAAGATCAACAGCCAAGCAACTGAGAGAAACTAGGCATACTCCGACGTCGCGTCGCCTTGCTGTTCACAAATACCCTTCGGGTCTTACTGTTTCACTGGCCCAGCTTCTAGTTTGGGCGCGTAATGCCTCGAATATAAAGTACGTGGTGGAGTTACTGAGCAAATACCCGGTCCATCTGGAGGATTCTTACCTGAGGTCGCGCAAAATTGTTTTTCAGTAGGAAGCACAACGAACCAAGGATTACATGCACCCATTTGTAATTCCGGCAGACCTCACCCGTTCAATGCAGGCTGCGACAAGCGAAGCCAGAAATACACAGCATCAACCCCTGAGCTTGACGAGCGTGTCAAGAATCAAGGCGTCCTACTCGATATTGTCGCTTCGATTGATCCGAAACTGTAAAAAAAAAATAGCAGGTAAGGCTGCTTAAACATTATGGTTGCTGCAAAGGGGTTGTTTTAGTATGGTTGCTTTATCATAATTATGCTTTTAGGCAATTTGTGCTCGCACTCACAGGAATCTACGCCGTTAATGCCAAGGGGAGGGCATGGCTGGAGCAAAACTGGCGATGTGCTGAATCGGATGTCGACTTGTTCGCGAATGAGACGAAGACGGCAGGCATATCAGTCAATGCTATCTGTTCTCGTCACCAGGCGCTCGCGAACGAGGTTATTTCCAAGTTCACATCTAGTCGTCTGCTCATCGAATTTAGAACGCTCTCACGGAAAGCAATGATCAGCTTTAATAACGTTGTGGGTGGGTTATGTCGTGGGAGGCTTAATATCAGCCCAATCGAATTTTACTTGGAAACTATTGCTACTTCAGTGGGTAAGTGCTACGTACTATCGTCTTTCTCGAGGTCGCTTGGGTGGTCGGCAACCCCGTGAAACTCGCTGCAAGACACCGATTTCATCGTCCACCCAGTGCATTTGAACGAGAATCACTGGGGGATCATTATGGATGGTTTCAGCCGCAATGGTGCCAATGGAGCTACGATCCAGCTACATGCGCATGCTTACATGTATGAACCTCTTATTGACGACGAATATCACGACGAAATAGAGACAGTGTGGAAGGGAATCTATAGTTTAAAGGAGAACGGCACCAAACCTAAGGTAAAAGAAGGGCTAGTGGGCTTTGTAGCGCGGTGGCATCAGGCTTCGATGCCATGGAGCAAAGTTGTTTTCGACCCAAATGAGTGGGTTGATGCCCCACAACAGCCCGACTTTGCTAGCTGTGGCGTCTTGGTGGTAGCCCAGGCACACAATTACCTTACTGGAAACGTGGAACGGCAGAAGTACAACGTCTCGAAGAACGATGTTAAGGTAATGCGATTACGGATGCTATCGATCATCATGTGTAATTCGAATGAGCGCAAAGCGTCCAAGGCTACTGCTGATAAAGTAAATAAAATTCATGAGAGCCTACAGGACGAGATCAAGTAGGAAACCAGACCTGTATTAAAAATTTAATACAGCTGAACGTGCATGCTAAGCTTTCAGTCTGTTAATTGCCATCTCCAGCAACACTTCGAATGATAAAATGCCACTAAATTGAGACCCTCCGACTCCTAGACTTGCTGCTAACTCGTAGCTGCGCTCTTCATTCTCTTCAATAGCAGCTTGAATCTCCAGTTGAACAGCCAATATTTTATCCAGATTCACTTGCACCCTTACTAGTTTTTTCTTCAGATCGGCGAAGTGCTCCAGTCTAGCGAGAACGAGCTCTCGTGCCAGCGTTTTCCCATCCATTCTGCAAGTCTTCACGAAAGTCGCAAACTGTGCTAGTGTACGTGGTACACGCATTTTATGTGAAAAATCGCTGTGATACACAATTAAGTGTAAAACACACGTCTGTGATATGTGTGTACTCTAAATTTCGATTCTGCGATGAAATGTAGATTCTTTTTGCCTCGTAATTTAAAATAAATTACTTATACTGTGGTCGGTTTTAGCTCTAAGGTCGACTTAATTTCGGTTGTGTTGTCGTAAACAGATGTTATTCTGGTTGTCGTAGCGCCATTCACCCTTTCGTGGCAAAAGGGCGCAGAAGTCGCCCTTTTAGTGGTTTGTGCAAAGAACAGCCTATTAAAAGGCGCATAATTCGCCAGTTCAGCTATATGTTGCGACATATAATGTACAGTACGATTCGTAATCTTTTAAGTAAACATTATTTCAGTCAAATTCATGTATTGTAGCAGATTGCATCACCATCCTATCTTAAATGATTTGTTACAAGAGAAAGCTCAAAAGGAGTACCGTGACTTTGTAAAAGGGCGAGAAATGCAGTGGCACATGCGTCTATCAGTAGGATAGAGCTATAGTCAACTTATTCGCTATTGCCTTCGTCATGAACCAGCAGAGTACCTGTACGAGCACTGAATAGCCCACCGTAATATGAGTGCTGCTTATTATTAATATTCATTGCTCTAATAAAGTTAAAGTAGTAAAGAAAAATGATTGTGGCTAAGACAATTGCTTTAAGTAAAATACCAATCCCGGAACGATTTAATACAGTAATCTTAATAGTACTATGTTCCAAAACCCTAAAAGTGATTTAGAAAATCATACTATTGTAATCTTATAGAAGAAGCATTTGCACAGATGACACTAGAGGTCTTTAGCACAACAGTGTCAGTTAGAAATAGATTTTTATATGTGAGCTCCATCGAGAAATTGTCGGATCTAGCTTTAGCACAAGCGTCCTCGTTCTTCGTGACCTTATGGCAGTGCTACTTCAAATTAGCTGTTCATGAGGTAAATCTGACTTAAGTGCCCATTTTTAAATCAGCTACAGCGGCAAGATGGTGAATCGCTTCACGGAGGATCACGACAAAGAACTCATGAGAGAGGTGATCGCCCAAAAGCCATTTGTAGCAAAGTACGGGGAGGCTGGTCGAGTATGGGCTAGCGTTGCGGAGCACGTTTCATCCGCTATCAAGGAAAGTGTCTTGGAGAAGCAAGTTCGGGATCGCGTTCGCTTGCTAAAAAAGAACTGGAGTGCCGGGGAACTTCGGTCTTTGTTAGGAAGCGGGATCGAGGAAAGACTTGAAGCCGTCAACGAGCAGAGTCACTACGAAACATTGGCTGGGTTGGTGATGCAGTATGTACAGCTTGAGGATGCTGCCAATGATGAAAAAAAGAATCGTATCAACAAAAAGAAGGCGGA